ATATATATATATATATATAAACCCTTTTAGGCAGCTCTGCAGACAACGGCAACAAATTTACGATGCTGTTCAAACCAGCACTTCCCGCTGGTTAAAGGCCTTTTCTTTCCCATGTGCATTCACTTCTTCAGTGTTTCGCCGCTACACAACCACCGCGCGTTGTGTATTTCGATTCTTTGGGATACCCCCACAGGTGCTGTTAAAACCAACCCGAAAATGCCAAAAACCCTCGTTCAAGTGTCTTCAATAGTCGCTATATACGCTGCCGGCATGCACCCGGATATGCCGTTGCACACAATTCCAGGCCACAAGCATGCTGTTGCGCTGCCATTCCAGTGGGAGGGAAATACAGAGCGACTCCACATGCTTAAAGAATATAGATCCCCATACCCTAAATCCCGTCCCAGAGACTTTGCATCCAAGTATTTCGAAAACAGCTGTTAGGTGTAGGGTTTAGCTTTGATTGCCTGAGGGGACGCGAGGGCGCTTACAGCGCTTGGGAGCCGACAAGTGCTGCTTCAGAGCCAAGTAACCACAAAACCGTCTTTGACAACGTTCACAGACGGTCCACCTAAAACCAACAGAAGAGTCAATAACAATAACAATATGATGTATTACCTCTAAACCCTCCAGGGTGTAAGGTTTGGTGGTGTTTTAGGTCCATTGTTTATTGTTTGAGGTTTCGCGCATATGGTTGCAGCTTCATCTTTGCTAGATGTTTAGGGTTATGGGATGTCTGGGTAATTCAAGAAGCAAAACTGGGGAACAGCAGCGAGCAATGGGGTGCTGGCTTCGAGTTTCTCGACAGCAGCTAGGTAGGAAAAGGAGAAAGAAGGGACAAGCAGATGCACGAAGGCAAACGGGGAATGAAACTAGCATCAACTCCAGCAGGTACTTTGGGCGAAAAACGGGAAGAGACCAACGACGAGGCAGCAAGATGAAGACATCAAAGGGAATCGTTGCTGAGAGAGTGGAGGTAGGCACAACAGCAAGTAAAGGGGAGAGAGAGGAGCGAGAGAGCGAAAAAACAAGAGGGAGGCGATGGATAAGGAAGACAGCAGGGGAGGCAGACGAGCAACGAAAAACAGAGACAGAAGCAACGTTGCAGAAACGCTGCACATCACGCAAGGACCACCAAAGGAAACAAGGGGAAGAGGAAAGAAACTCAAGGCAGGAGGGCGCAGTAGCAGATGCCGCCGACAGAGACATAAGAATAAGGAGGCGACCGAAAAAAACACTACGAACAGGCAGCGAAACAAGAGAAAAAAAACGGAGTGCCGTCTTCACCCTCTGCCATGGTGCGCATCCTCGTCATTTTCTGAAGTATTCTCCCTCAATTTGAGCACCTCTAAGAGCACACACAAAATCGTTGATGGATATTCGTTTGTTGTCCGTATTTTGTTGTCATACACAAACATCTAAAAACTAACGTGAGCGTGTTCGAACTGCACTGTGAGTTTGTGTCGTATGGTGCATGCCTACAAACAGTGAGCAAACAGCCACAGGAGCGGCATCTGTAAATCCTGCAGCAGCAGCACCTGCCATTCAGGGCTTGGCGGTACGTTGAGGCAAAAAACGGGAGGGTAACAAACAGAGAGGCAGAAACAGAAAAGACGCAAACCTAGACGGAGGAATAGATTCTGCTAGCTGATGCATTCTGTATGTTTTGCACAAAGACAAACCAAAACCCAACCAACCAAGTAAAGTAAACAAGACCCACAACCCGGACCATGGCAGCTGCTTTTATTTTTTACCTGGCATTTGCTTCGCCGCCGCAAACTCCAAGTCTTCCGAAAAGCTTTTGCCGGCAAGGAAATCTGGAGACAAAGCCCTCAACCCTATACCACAGGCCCTCAACTCTAGGCCCGAAATTCGAAGCCCTACCCCTGCGACCCAACTGATAAACCCTACAAATCCCCAACCCTAAACACCAGGACTGTATAAGCAAGCATTAAGCGGTGTACAGAAAGCAAAAGACTCTGGCATGAAGGAAATACAGCTAAACTCTAAAGCCCGCTCTGACCTTTTACGATTTTGAGTGTCGGCAAGCAGATTTTTTCCTTCCATTCGGCGACTGAGGCTAAATTCCAGAAACAGCAGGAGAACGCGATTCGCCTCTTCATGTACAGCTATATATCCATATATGCATTAATAAATAGATCCATATATTATATACATACGTACTTTCAAGAACACGTGTATTTTACTCTTACATGCATTGACATTTGTAATGCTTATGTTTATGCATGTATCGATTCCTATCGCTGTATAATATATAATACGCTTAATATGTAGTATGTACATGTGCGTATGGATGATATATTTATGTCGGTGTGAAGGCTACAGACAAAGGAACGGCTTCAGTTGTTCTTCGCCACTGTTGCTGTGTCGCATGGGGTGCGTGAGTATCACAGCATATTATTAAGGCTATTGTTATTACTATTACTGTGTTAGTCACCATCAGTCGTCTCAAAGAAGTAGAGGGGAACGTTCTTCCTGCGAATCAGAAACTTGTTCCGAATCCACTTGCGCTGCTGGCGCGCATACTGCAGCGATCGCAGCACCACTAACTCCAGGCAAGCCTTCAGACTCTCAGAAAATAACTCAGAGGAATGCCCCGAAGGAGATGCATCAGACACAGCACCGCGGTTTGCTCCAGGTAACACCAACGGAAAGAACTCCTTGTACCCTGCAGCACAAAGTAAAGACGGACAACAGCCAACAAATTACAATCATGATAGCTTGCAAAAAGCAATTCGAATTCCACAGAACAACAATTCACACCCGCCAACTAACAATTTGCAATTATCTGTGACTCCTAAACAATGGACTGTTAACATTACATCCCATCCTGGTCTCCCAGTCAGTAAAAATTGAATTCCCAAGCCCTATGCCTACAGGGACCTTCATGCTTCTACACGTGGCAATCAGTACCATCCAACCCCAGCGATCGTACGCTCTAGAGCTGAACCATGAAAACTGCTCTTTATTTCCTCGTTGTTGCGAAGCCCAATCTTCCCACACTCTCGGACTCGAAACCCAAACCTTAAGTTTTAGAGGCTCACCACGCCGCAGGTACTGGGCCCCCCGGAGCGCCAAAGTCTAAACTCACCGATGCCTTGAAGGACTCCCCCTCTCAAGCCTTCTCTTTTCTTAGTCTCGTGAGCTTCTGGGTTGCAGCTGTCACTCCATGTGGGGGAGGGGTGCCTCCCCTCCCCTAGGGTGGCCCCCTCTGAAGGGCTGTCGGGCCATTCTATGGGTCCCCTGGGGCCACCCGTCGTTTCTGGAGGCCAACTGCGGAGCTGCAGCTGCTCCGCTACCCAACGCACTTCGTCCAGCAGACCCTCCTGAAGCAGTGCAATACAAGGCAAATGCACAAACGTGTACAAAAAATCGAAAGTAGTTTGCATGCACGCTTGCAGATACGTTCGCAAATGCAAGCATGCGTGCCACAGAGGCGTTTACATATGCATGCGCGTAGCACTTGATACAAAAACGCATGCATGGAGAATAAGAGGTCCCAATTGAGGCTACTGAGCTTTATGGTTCGTTTCAACTTGTTGGTTTGCCCTGCTTCTTCTTGAAGCTGTCTCTACTCCTTCAGATTTTTCTGTCCCCTTAAATATTCGTCTGCTTTTCTCCTGCTCATTTCCTGGCCTTTTCCTCTGTGCTCTGGCGTTGTACTAGTTTGTAGATCGACACAACACGTAATGGTATCCCAGCGTCTCCCTCTGTGATTGTGTCCCTGTCTGTGTTTCTATGCCTTTCCCTCCACATCTGTCTTTGCTTCTCACTTGACACATTTTCTCCAGCCTCTGCCGCAACCTCTTCTCGAGAGCCTCTCTGTCTCGCAGGTCCAGCCAAAAGATGCATGCGTCATATCTGCAAGCAGACAGCCACATGCAAAGATGCATGCGGGTATGCATGCATGCGAGCATATTCATTAACTCTTGCTGACTGCATTGACATAATATCAGTCGTAAACAAAGAATATTGAGGCCAAATTCCCAAAATGAAAACATGCCTTAGGTTATCCTTATTCTCTCCCTTCATCACCTCGCTATGAGGAACTCCAAACTCCTGGGTCAACTGCAGGCACAAATGCATGCGACAGCGCAAGCAAAAACGAGCAAATGCATGCACGAGCGCATTCATCCACAAGCATGGACTCATTCATGGCATGCGTGCATGCGAACAGAAATTACGCGTACAGAGCTCGTAAATGCACCTACCACCGCATGCTTGCCCAAGTTAATGCATGCCCTCATGCACGCATGCCATACACAAGCATACGCATACACGGACAAACGATCGGTGTAATAGTCACGTATCGGTCTCTGCCAACGCTCCAGAAGCCTGTATTTGCCAGGTTGGCAGCAGTACGAGGAGCAGCTGCACAGCAGCAGCGGCAGCCGTTGCTGCCGCAGCACGTGCAACAGTTGCAGGAATTCTTTGCTTTACCCACTTCTATACTGCGTATGATGCGTCGCCTGTCATGAGGATGGAGTTGCTGCGCCTGCCAGTCGACGCAGTTCACAGAAATAAAGGAAATATATACAATTCTAACTGCAAGAAGCAGAAAGGCATGATGTCTTTTGTAAACAATACTAGTGTTCAACTGTTAGTGCCCCCAACAAAAATGCTACTGGAATGCCTGCCTGCCTGCATGCATGCATGAGGGCCCCAAAATTCCCACCCGTTTGATGTCTATTTGTCTCAGTATTTCTACCAGCTCTTCGTTCGTCTTTGCCTCCACTACAAACAAGACAGGAAATCGAAACATATAAAACACCAACAAATATGAATACATGAGGTGCTGCTGCAAGTAGTTCTGCTTTATCTGTGTATATTGCTGCTGCTGCTGCGTCATCATGAGATAAACTGTACATTTGCTGCTGTTCTGCGGCTGTTGTCGTGGCTAATGCCGCTGATGCTGCTGATGCTGCTGCTGCTGCTGTTGCTAACAAGTACCGTACATGCTTCACGTATTTTATTTGCATTTGTTTGGTTTGTGTTTTGTTTCTGTAACGACAGGTCCACCGCAGATTGCCATAAAAGTAGCTGTATGTACAGCTGAGTGCCCCCCACCACCACCGGCAGTTTCCCTTCCTCAGAGAGTGTCTGTATCTTAAGACAAAACATATAAAGGCAATGCAAATACAGCCAATGAAATGAACAAAGATAAAATATTAATTTGCCAAGAATAAAATATTAATTTAATGCATAGATAAACAGCCCTTTAGCCAGTACAACCCACGCAAGACACCCGCTAACGTCTGCCTGCGTTTTTGCTTGTGTGGTGTACGGACAGCTGCCAGGGAGAAAGGAAAACTTATGATAAATAAACAGCAGAAATAAGTACAAGACAAATGTCAATGTCTCGAGGAAGCAAAAAGAGCCAAACCATAGAACAAAGAAGGGAAAGAAATGCACACCCTCTATGCACATACTGTTTGTTTAGCTGCTTTTAGATAATCTGCTGCTGAAAATGCTTCTTGCGGTGTACAGACATCCAACAAGTGGTGAGGCACCGCCTGCCTCTCTGCTGCTGTGGCCTTTGCCGTAGCTATGTCACATCCTTTGTACACCTGAAAATCGCAAACGGAATAAGGAGCCATAGTTAACCCGCTAGCCTGATAGGCAGCTATCTAGTCATGAGAGGAACCGCCGGTGCAGATAGTCAGCCACCTGGCCAGCTGCAGGAACAGATAGCAAGATAGCAAACTCGCTGGCTGCAGCTTGCCAATTAGCCCGTTACGCAACCAAGCAAAAATAGCCAGCTGGGGAACTGTGCCCATCTCCTTAGCAAGATCCCCTGTTAAGCATTCACATTCATGGGGAAGTATTTTTGCTGCTTGACTTGTATTCGTTCTTCATATCCACAACGATCTTCTGGGTGTTTTCGGTGTATGTACAGACATCCATACCTGCATAGAATCTGCACTGACGATTTCTGCATTTATTCCTTCTTCCCTCAACTTCAGGCAAATATCTAAAGCTAAGCGAGACTTTCCCACTCCAGTAGGGCCAATGATAAACAGAACTTTTGGTGGGGGAGTTGAAGACTCTTGCGCCGCCATCGTTGACGGCTCTGCAGCCGAAGGTCCAGAGCTCTCACGGCAATTGGAAGCAGGAAGAGAGTTACACGACGGTGAAGAAGGCGAGGCACCAAAAACTGCGGAAACGGAGTTGCTTTTTCCTCTAGGTGGAAAACGGAAAGATGCTGCGCATGATAACGAAGGGAGGGAGGTGCCTATACACTGCAAGTTCGAGGTGTATGTGCAGGTCCCTGCACCCCTAGATCTTCCAGAAGTGTCATTTGTCGTGAAGCAAAGCTGCGTTCTGCGCTTTTTGTGATCTTCCTTCTGCCAATGAATGGTTCCCTGGAGTATTTTCGGTAATACTTCCCGTGCCACCTGCCTTAGGTGTATGGTGAGTCCCTGGGATTCGCCCTTTTTCCCCCTCTGGATGAAGGAAGGAGAAGGCCAATCAACTACAGAAGAAGTAAAAATACGCGATCCTGCGCTTAAAGAGCCAAGAAGAACATATAAACTCAAAAATAAGCTGCAATGTATCCCGCACAAACTCCGCATGCTGGCCATACACCGTGGCTTCCTGCATTCACCACCACATAGCCAACTTAATCCTCACTAAAAAAACATTTTTACAGAAAAAATAATCATAAACAAAGGCTATTGTTTTCTTCATCTCATCGGGAGTCTCCGTACTTCCACCGACTGGGCCCTTGGGGGCCCTCGGGGGCCCTTGTGTAGGGGGCCCCTCGACTCCCCTGTGCTCGGTATGACCGGTTGCCATTTCCCGAGTTTTATCTGTTTTCCAATTGTTGCATCATTAAATAGGCTTACTCAATAAGTTGTGTTGGGCGTGGGGAGCCACAGTCACAGAATCTAACGAGCAGTCTAATTTAAAATGTTGTTGGGATTTAGCGTTTGGAAGGGTTCACTAGGGAGTAGTGATGGTAATGAAGGGGAAAGTGATAAAGACAACTACTTGCCAATAAAAAATGCGGGAAGTATCAACGACGGGTAACGAATGAGGGGATAAAACGTGACAGGTGGAAGAGGAACCACTGGACGTGTCTTTGGTCTCCGATGTATTTCCAGCAGCAACAGAGTATTAAGCCGCCAAACAGTTGAGGCTGGCCGCATATCTATGCATGCACCTGCAGGCAGCAACAATGTGTTGCATTTCTCATCAAGGGCGGCTGTAGAGTCTCAGGGTGTCTTGGGTATCATTAAGGGCAATAAATATCGAGGCCTATCTCATGTTGATGCTGTGGCCACTGCTGTTTGTTGCTGTTGCTGCTGCTATTCGTGCTGCTGCTTGCCATAGAGCACAGCTGCTGCCGTTCCCTGGAAATGGCGATCGTCCAATAGGCCATACGGCAGAGTTGAAGTGTTTTTAGAGAAAACAAATTGGGGGGATATATCAAGTTGACGATTTGATTTTCTTGCAATCAAATGTAGCAAACCCCGGTGCTGTAGGAAGGAAGGCTAGTAGCTGAGAATGTCGCGAAGAAGAGGAAGGCAGAGCCATACACAAACCAGGGTTTGGTGTTTAGGGTTTAGGGTTTAGGTTTGAGAGAGGCGACACCGTAGAACAATCTAGGGTCATACGTTTGAGGGTTTGAGATAGAAGACAAAGCAAAACCAGCTGCCTACTGAAGCGGTGGGGTTTTGGGTCTAATTTTGAGGGTTTGAGACAGGGTTGTCTTGCAAGCAACACCGTTGCGGCGTTGTTGCGGCGTCTTGGTTTACATAGACATTAAACCTTCTGATCAGTTAGATTGCGTATTAAGAAGCCTAGTTGTTTACAGTTAGTTATTTAATCTTATTTTTGTTTTTATACAATACTTAAAACCTTGATTCCCCCCAGAATTTCCTCTTCCCTTGTTATGTTAGGGTCTTGAGAGCAATCTCAGTTCCGGCCTGTCAACGCTGCAGAACAGCCAAAGGCTGCAGTCACGTCTCTTTGCAATCCACAGTAATATTTAATTAAACGGGAATTATACTTCTTCTATATGGCAAAACGAAATTATATTGCCACTATATACGTTGTCTGCAGTAAGGTCAAAATGAGGTTGGGAGAGGAGAGGTTTGCCGTGTGTTGCAGCACTTCTTGAGGCAACCGTCTTCTTATGGACAATACCACATTTCATGCAAACAAATCAAGGCCTAAGTCCCCTTTTTGTGCGTGTAGAAATTTTGTGTTCAATTGCTAAACCCTTTTGTGCCAATCCGCCACGAAAAAACAAGCCGAATCTAAGATGATGCACGCTAAACAATGACACAGTACGAACCACAATAAATCTCAGGACGCCTTGGAGAAGATATCAGGAGGTAGTAGCTTGCTTTTTTATTTTTTTTAAGTCGCAGCAATTCTCGCTGCAACTTTTGTTACCCTAATTCCTGAACACTAGGCCCTAGCCAAGTCAACCCTACATGTTAACAAGGCAATACCAGACTCCACAAACAAATTTGATGGATGCATGGAAAAACACTGTATATAAGTGCTAAGAATCCTCTTGGAATGCAGCAATCACCGCATATGCAAGGAGAAGCAAGTGCACCAGTCATCCGCCCGCAAACAATGAGCCGCTGTGTCCGTGGTGGACAATGGGGCTTGGTTTATTTGTGAAACCAATACAATTGTTATTATTGCCATTACAATTATGAGGATTATTTGCGTTTTTTGCAGAAGGGTCAACTGCGGCTTGAAGGGCGGAGACGCCTCCGTAAACATTCGGAATTCCTTTCCGTTGACCGGTGGCGAAATAGAGGGTGGAAGTGGTCAACCAATGATTCGTTCGCCTGCTTTTCCATGATTAAATAATATTACTAATACGTTAAATTAAGTAATTAACCCAACTTTTCAGCTTAAGAAGAATTTCGCTTAAGTGTTGACAGTGCTGCTTTGGCAGGCGTTGGTTGTGCAGCAAATGGTCAGGGGAGCCGATAGACAGAAAACCGTTGTTTTTTGAGGCCTAAGGTGCTTAACTTGACAGTTTAATTTCAATTTACTAATTCCACATAATATAAATCTAACAAAACAGAGAAATGTGGGCATATATACACAAACAGGCGCGAAATGTAGGAACGCCTGGCGGCAGCGGCGCTGCTCAGAAGGAGATGGCCGGGGGTTGATGTGCACACACACCTCAGCATCTCCGTGCAAAAGAAGGTCTTGAAAACTGGGACTTCGGTTTACCAGTTGAATCAGCTTTCAAGCAATGCTCGAGAACATCGATAAAACTGCATTATACATCCTTTGTGACGATTAAAGTCGTCACGGCGTGCAGCCGCTGCACGCCAGACGAGGAAAAGACCAGGTGGAAACCAAGCAGTAATTCGATCCATATGGTTCCAATTTGGCTTTTATTGGCTGTATTTTGATTTATAAAAGCAACTAAAAGGCTAAACACCGGACGAGGGGTGGCTACACAAGTTAAATTGCCCTCCACGACCCCCTCCGCCGGTTGCCGTTGCTTATTCTGAGAGCGCGACACACAGAGAAGGCGAGTAAGGGAGTAAGGAGGAGAGTAGTAAGAGAGGTCGGAGTAGGTAATAAAAAGAACAAAAAGCAGGAGAAGAAGCAGGAGGTGGTGGAGCAGAAGAAAGGGGGAAGCACGACGACAACTACGGGAGCGACACTGAGAACGATAGGGGAAGGAATAGCGGGTGGAAGAAGACTGGCAAGAGTAAGAACAAGAAAAACAGGAAGAATGACAGAAGGGAGAAAAATGCGAACAAACCATCAGTAACTACATCTGCATTAGTCTCCCGTTTTGCCTACAGACCGCGTGGCGTCTCCGATATATTTTGTTTGAATTATTCTTTCGGAAGACACTCGCCAACCCGAAATAGGAAAATGACACCAACAACAGACAGCCTCTGCCTTTACGCTCTGCTGATTCCTCCCATCTTCGGCTTGATTTGGGCCGCCTATCAGGCCTGGGACCTTTCCAAAATCAAGTTGGAGGGGCCTGTGCGGGCAGAGGACAAGCCCCTCACTGACCCCCTCTATGTAGAGGTACCTTGTGCAGAAACACTTGCCTCCATGCATGCATGCACGCAATGAGTGGGCGCTGGTTTAGAGCAACGTGGTGGCTGACGGGGGAGTCGTTTTTGGCTCCAGATGCACTTGTGTACGTACCTGCATATGTAGGCTTGCATCCGTGCGTGCTTGGGTAGAAAGCATGAAAGCGCGCTTTCTTGCGTAACTGCATGCTTCTTTGCATGCACGCATTTGCATGGGGGTCGTTGCATGCATATGTTTGTGTTGCAGGCTGCTGGTAATCTGCAGGAGCAGCTGGCTTCTATGAAGGCAATATCGACGAGCATTGCAGAGGGTGCCGATGCCTTTCTTTTTCAGGAGTTCCGGTATATATTTGTTTTCATTCTCCTGTTTTCTTCTCTCATCTGCTTCGCTGTGGGGCCTTGTAAGCGCATAGGTTAAAACGGTCTCTGCATTCATTTTTTTTTTGTCTGTTGCTGCTGCTGTTGCTTGGGGTGGTAATTGACGGTTGACAGTATGTCGTGGGTTTGATTTGATTAGATATATTGATTGATTGAGATTGATTCACGGAATTATTGATGAGATATTGGTGGATTTATTTATTCTCCTAAATTGGTTTACTGATGGGAGATTTGTGGGTTTATATTTGACTACCTTTCGTTGGCTGATTTGGCGTCTCAATTGCTTTTTGAATGTGTTATGTTGATTTCGACCTTGGTTGATTTAGTTTAAGGTCTCCTGTTGATAGATTGATGGTTTTGAATTCATTGGTTAATCAAGTGTGTTGATTCATTGATGATCTTAATTTACAATGCAAAACCCACAAAATGTATCAATTTACAATGCAAAACCCACAAATCACGTAATTCATTCAAGATCGTCAACCAATCCATCAAATAATCTCCCACCACTAAATAAATCAATTAAGAGAATCAGGCAACTACTCAAAGACCATTGAACGAGCGGTCTACAAAAAGCCCGACAACTTTTCATTGATACATTTTATCCATGGGAGATCACTTGATGTATGGATTGATTGTCTTAATTTTATTGGTGGATCCTCATGATTAATTGGTTGATGATCTTGATTGATTGGCGATGAAGCTTGGCTATGATGGTGGTCCTTTGTTCTTGTTTTCTTGGCTGTCGTCTCTGCAGCGCCGGATATCCATCTGTTCCATGGGCTCTGTCTGCATTCTTGTGTTTGTCGTCGCTTGTGCATGTATGTAGTCGCTTGTCTATCTCTGCTTGTCCACGCCAAGCACACCCACCCACGCACACATACATGAACACAAAAACACGCACACCCATTCCTACACTTATGCATACATGCGTGCATCTATATATCTGTATGTATGTATTTACCTATGTTTCTGTTTACACTATATGCGTGTGTATCTAAATGTGTAGGATAGCCACCGTAAAAGTGTCCTTTTACGCGTTTTTTTTTTTTGCAAATGCGCAAGGCAGCGAAATGTTTGATGTCTGACTGGAGGCTTGTAGAACACAAGACTTGCGTGTGTTGCGGTTGTTTGGAGTTTAGGGTTTATATGTTAGTGTTTGGGGGTTTTCGCAGTGACAATGCTGAGCTTTCTGCTGGGAGCGGCGACTTCACTGCTCTGCGGCTATTTGAGCATGAAGATTGCGGTATTTTCGAACGTGAAGACGTGTCATCAAACATGGCTGGACTTGGGCTTGGGCTTCAACACGGCACTCAAGGCAGGGGGAGTTATGGGCTTTGCAGTTGTCTCTTTCACTCTCCTCAGTCTTCTTTCTCTTATTCTTTTCTTCCGTTTGGAATCCCTCTTCGGCACGGATCCGCAGTCGCAGCCGCGCCTCTTTGAAACCCTTGCAGGTATTCCATTGAAGCTGCCGCCTTTGTATTTTCTTTGCTGTACTCCTCCTTGGCTATCAGCTGGCTTTATTGAATCCTTTTTTCCTGTCTTCCCTTGTTTTTGTCTCTACTCCCTATTTCCATTAACCCAGCGTACTTTCCCCGCAGACCACTACGTTTTCTCCTTGCACACTACTCCCCATTGTCTACTCACTTTCACTTTCTGCCCTTTGCAATTACCCTTTACTGTCTAAACTGTCTGTCTGCCTCTCGAGCTCATCTGTTTCGTGTTTGTTCATTCTACCTTAAGTCGTCTGTTGGAGTGTGCCTGTGTGTTTGTGAGTTTTATTCCTGTGTCTGAAAGTGTATGTACGCATATATGTATGTATGTATTCGCGTGTGTGTGTGTGTGTGTGTGTATGTGTGTTTGGGTGTGGGCGTTTTTGTGTGTGCGGGTTTGTGTGCTGATGGGCTTGGGTGGTTGAGAGACCAGGGTATGGTTTGGGGGGTTCATCTATAGCGTTATTTGCTCGCGTTGGAGGCGGCATTTACACGAAGGCTGCCGATATTGGAGCAGACTTGTCGGGAAAAAATGCCTACGGCTTTGCAGAAGATGACCCGCGCAATCCTGCGTGCATCGCCGATAACGTTGGTGACAACGTAGGGGATGTTGCAGGAATGGGTGCAGATTTGTTCGGTTCTCTGGCAGAGGCTACTTGTGCTAGCTTGGTGCTAGCCAGCGCTCCTCCCGTTTCTTACATATTGAACAGCAGCAGCAGCGGCAACGCCGTTAGTGTGGATGGCGGGGTTGTTGCGGGTGCTGCTGCTGCGGGTGCGGGTGCGGGTGCTGGTGCAACAGGAGCCGAAGAGTTGTCGCAGCATTTCTCCAGCTTGATGTTTCCACTTATTGTTTCTTCTTCTGGAATTCTAGGGGGTTGGCTGACTCTCTGGTTAGTGCGCCGCTTCTACCCAGTTCGGGGCTTTGACGATGTTGAGAAGACGCTTAAAGCGGTTCTTTTCATTGGTACGTCGCTGCAGACGCCACTGGTAGCTGGTGCAGCCTTCCTCTTTCTTCCGGCCGAATTCACGTTGCAGAACAAAGGCTCAGCAGCGGCAGCAGCCGCAGGAGAAGTGTTGATAGCGCAGCAATGGAAAGCAATGCTGTGTGTGCTGCTGGGCTTATGGGTGGGACTCTGCATCGGCTTGACTACGGAGTACTACACGTCTCATTCTTATAAACCCGTGAGGGAAATCGCAGCATCTCAGCGCTTGTCAGCAGCAACAGGAATCATATATGGTCTCGCTCTGGGCTACCTCTCGGCATGCCTGCCGGTGCTCAGTCTAGCAGCCTGCGTCTGTGCAGCACAGGCGCTCTGCGGAGTATATGGAGTTTCCCTGGCTGCTCTCGGCATGCTTTCTATTCTTCCCCTCTGTCTTATGATTGACGCCTTCGGACCCATCAGTGACAACGCAGGAGGCATTGCTCAAATGGCTGCTCTCGATGCAGAAGTACGAACGAAGACAGATGCACTCGATGCTGCTGGCAACACCACTGCAGCCGTCGGCAAGGTAAAGAGACACCTAGACGAGAGAATTGCTGCGAATTGGTAGTGTACCTTTCGTTAGAATGGACAATACTAAGACCTGTAGTTGTTATTATGAAGATACCTCAGCAGTTAATATGCGGAGGAATTGTTATCGTCAAGCGGTTTAAAGGATGAATACAATAATAATAACCCAAACTCTATCTTTCTTAGCTCTGTTCTTGTTGTTGTGCAGGGTTACGCAATAGGTTCTGCAGCGCTGGTATCGTTGGCTTTGTTTTGCGCGTACACTGTACGTGCCGATATCAGTGCAGTAGATCTACTAGAGCCGTGGAGTTTCATGGGTTTATTACTGGGTGCAATGCTACCATACCTCTTCAGTGCCTTAACAATGAAGAGTGTCGGGCGTGCCGCCAATGAAATGGTGGCAGAATGCATGCAGCAATTCCCACAGATTCTTGAGGGCTCTCTTGAGCCTCAATATAAACGATGTGTTGCAATTTCTACAAAAGCTTCGCTAAAAGAAATGCTTAAACCAGGAGCACTTGTTATTTGCTCTCCTATAATTGTCGGAGTCACTTTCGGAAAAAATTGCACCGCTGGACTTCTTGCAGGAATTCTCGTCTCAGGAATTCAACTTGCCCTATCCATGGCCAACTCTGGCGGAGCTTGGGACAATTCTAAGAAATATATCGAGGTCAAATCCTAAACCCTCACCAATGAGCACTTTTTCTCCATAGGAATAGCCCCATTGTAGTGTTCAACGCATGCTCACGCATGCATGCTGTATTAATGCATGAATAGATAATTGATTTGTTCTTGTTGCAGGTATCTATATACAAAAAGGTGTATGCTTGTTAATGTGTGTGCCTCTATCTTTGCAGTCAGGGGCCCTGGGTACAGAAGAAGGGAAGGGCTCAG